GGTAGCATGCTAAAAAGATAATTTCAACTCAAAAAGATCGCATAGTATTGATGTAGGTTTTATTTGACCTGCTTTCAGGGGCAAAAGAAGAGAGCTACCCTTTATTTGTCCCGTTCGAAATGAGTTTTTAATGTTTCCTAAGACCTCTATAGCTGCCTTAAACGTACGGGTACCTAGAATTTTACTAGTAACTTCGGCAACTTAGTACCTTATGTTATACTGATACAATCGAGAATAAATAAAAAACTGAGCAAAAGCTTGAGTTTGAGACTAATAGTACCACCCGTGGATTTGGCGGTTTCCCATCTAAACACATTTTCTTGAGAGTATCGTATTACTTGATGAAAAACGATTTCATGATGTGACACCTTGATTGTGTATTGTGATTTATTTGCTTATTTAGTCATCTATTTAATTATACCGAACGTCTAGGTTTTCAAAATAATCACGTTGTTAAGGTAACTCTTGTTTCTTTTTTAATTACTGTTGGCGATCACAAATAGCTTCTTTCTGAAGTTCGTGAATAAGCAACTGTCCGCGACTCTTATGGCCATGCAGTGATCTGATGTGCTGATAGTCAGGTACCTTCAGTTATCCTGAATATCAGTATATATTGCAAACTAGTCATATGTCGTAGCTAGTAATTAATAGAGTATTTTTTGAATTAGCCTGCAGAGTCAATATACTGATCTAATCCATGTTGTAACCTACATCAATTTCGTATTTGCTCTATAGTGTTTCCTTTTTGATGAAAAACATATTTTGATTTTAACTCTGTTCTCAGGTATCTAAGGAGTGAAGGAAAAGATACGGCCGGACTTATGCTACGTATTGAGGACATAATTATCAAGTCATTTATCGCCGTGGAGTCGCCCATTGTCTCGGCCTGCCACCTATTTCAAGCTGGCAAAAATAACTGTTTTGAATTATATGGCTTTGATATCATCGTGGATGAAAACCTAAGACCATGGCTTCTGGAAGTAATTCTAAATCTTTTGACCTGAATGTCTGATGTTTCATATTTTATACTAACTACTTCAATAACTTATTAATGTTAGAAATCAATTCATGCTGTCTACGCGTGTGCAAGTATTCCCCTTTTTTTCAGAGGCTGCCAGTACTGAATTTCCTCCACCCGTATTATTCGTTCTGCTTGTCCCTCGAGGACCAACTTTAGCAACTGTACCCTTAACTCAGGCTCATAACCAAACATGCTGAGTTTCGAAAGAGCATACTTCTCTTCGATCCAAGTTGTTGTATATGACATGCGTAAACGTTCCGTCTTCATGTGATAATTTGTTTTTGTGACACAGATTTTGCCTGTCTCTAAAGTTTTTCCACCCATGTTAGTGTTTCTGACACTTTTGCTCCTCTTTTTATGGTCTGAGCTGCCGCACGTTCAGACTGAACGTAATGGAGGGATGAAAACTGTCCCTAAGATCGTGTGGGGCTAGTAAAAATGCTTGGGATACCGAGCGTTATATCGCGGGCTTTTAGTCAACCGTTCGATGTGATATGATGCCCCTCTCGTACGCATACAACTAGAGACACCGGAGGTTGCCTAACAATATAGGGTTTTTTGTCGACCGACTCGTATTTTACCATTCTTTTATCAATATTTAGGTCAATCTCTCCCCGTCCTTGGCCTGCGATACTCCACTAGACTTCAAAATCAAGTCCAGTATGATTGCTGATCTGCTCACACTTGCTGGTATTCAATGCCATGACCCAAGTCGGAAGTACAATGCTGGCGTCAACCACCCAGGTGTGAATCCTTTGGTTCCCACTTTCATGGCGCCAAAACAACCGACATTTTTTGTGCCTGCACGCAATTACCTCCTATCAGAATTACCGGGTGCTGTGAATGGTAAGTCTTGCATTTGAAGAGTTTTTACAAGTTCTTGCGTGGTTCATATATCTGGGTGGTCTTTTTAGACGATGGACACTTTCTACTCAGAAAAACTGAAGTTGCAAAAAACAAAATAGGGCTTTTACGAGGAATTCAACTGGATACGACGTCTAAACTCACATTCTATTTTTTGTTAGTGGCTGTACAATCAACTTAAGAATTGGTATAAAAAAGTGAAGTAGACAAGAAATACGCGCGTTTTCGTTATTTTTTAATAAGCAAATAGTATTGCCGGCAAAGACTTGGAAGACAAGAATGGCAGTTTCTGGCTTATTAGCCATCATCAGCTAGTAATACGCAGCCTTTTAAAGTGTATTGAGTATCAGCCTTTTAAAGTGTGTGCTGGGTTTTTGAATACGATAGAGTCCTATTACTTGCGAGCAAAGACAGTAAAATGATCTAATATAATATTTTACGGAGGTGATTTTTTGGATTGTGCATGTTTGGCATCGTAGTCTTCAGTAGGAGTTTTCTCCTAGAAGGAAAATTAAAAATGGAATCAGCCCGCGAAAGAAGATGCAAGTCTTGACCTCGAACGCGAATGTTTCCGATTTCCATTTCTGTTCTACTTTCCCGATTGGAAAAATCACTAACAAAACTAACCGTGACTCCAAAACCTTTTTTTCAGTGATCTTGAACCCCAGTCAGAATTTCCCAATGACGTAACTCACCTGTTTATAAGCTATATAGAACCATTGTGCACAACTACCCTTGGCATATGTTTTGAGCATGAGAATCCATTTTACCATCCGCTTGTAAGCACAACACTGGTAGTAATTATATAATTTCAAAACGGCGTGCGGATTGTGCGGAATACTTTTAGGAAAACCTAGACATTTCATGATTACTGTGATTCTCATCCAATAAACAAATCTGAGAGAACGATGTAGCAGCAGTTTCAGTGGCTACACTGGAGTTGGGTATCGCCAGCTGACGACGGCTAATAAGTCAGATATAGCTATCCTAGCGTCATTGTCTTTGTCGGTAATATCTAAAATTATAAACATTACTGAAACTTAGTAAGTAACATTACTGTTCGCCTTGCAACATATGCTTTTACGTTCCAAGCCTGCAACCGCATTAAGCAGGATGGGTACATCCTGAAACAGATCGGCGTATAACTACCTACCACTATAAAAATATATTTCAGGTGCCATTAATAAACTCTTTCGATCCGGTATCTCGAAAAAAATTTCGTCCGTTCTTCCCTTGCAACCGCTTAAGTTTGCTAAGTATAAACTTGGGTCAGTGATTTTAATTGAAAAACCGGTAGTGGATAATAATGATAATATCTGATGAAAAAACCGTTTCCATCCAGCCTCTCGACAGAATAATTAGTCTGCACGTATAAATGTATTCGCAGCTTTTTCATTTAATATCAGGCTTTTTTCTCGAGATTTCTCTCATAACCCCAAAAACTCTGGATCTGGCATTAGAGTTTGCTAAATTTTAATGGTCTTTGTACCTGCAATACTGTAGTAAAAGATAAGCTCTCCGTTGTACTACATCTCGATTCAGTCTGATAGCGTAATTCTGGTGCCTGATAGGCGTAACAGAAGTATGACGTGATTGTGACTTCTATGACAAATTTTCACAATTTTTCGTCAGATCCTACCTGGATCGTCCCAAGAATAGCGAAGTTAATTTTTATGAGGAAGGAATGAAAGAGAGAATACGGGGCACTTCTGTGATCCCCTTGAGTTTCGAGCCTCGAACCCCCACAGGCAGTCAAAAAATGAAGTGGTCAGGTGAGCGTTCATAAATGAGTGTCAATATCCCCTAACATAAACCGGCGTGAAAACGAGCTCGTGACTCAATGGTTAGGGCGTTTGATTCTGATCAAAAAGTTTGCGAGTTCGAGGCTCGGGTGGGACGCTACTTGAGTCTAGGTATGACTGTCTGACGACGTCTAATGAGCGAGAAATGGCCATTCCAGTCTCATTTGTCTTTACCGGTAGTACTATCTACAAAACGAAGTGTCACCATTAATTGTGACCTGGTACTGACAACGTTAAAAGAAATCTGAGTAACCATTTTTGGCTACTGGCAGCATATAAGTCACCAACGGTCATTCTAGTGTCGCTAGCTTCTTCGGTAAAATTTCAAAATAAACTTAATGAATTGCCTATGTTTGCAAGCAAATACAACATACTCTACTTACTGACCAAACTGGAATTTACCCTAGTAGTTACTAGTGCTGTGAGAAAAGGACAGTTTAATCTTTTTTTTCCCGCTTCATAATCAACATGTATGACAGGACTAGTACGTTAAATCAGCATTTTAGATGGGTCATTCGCGTCTGGGATAGCTAACATATGCACATGTTCACTGTTCAAAGTTGTCCTCTATAATAATATTAAGGAAAAGTGTCGATGAAAACTTTATAAATGTCTTTTGAATCCGTTGTCTGTCTGGCTGGCTAAAAGTGATGTGATTCGCGTGCTGCAACCCTTGGTACTACACTGTCTATGATTCATGCTCTTAGGGATTTGCGCGGTAGGTGGTGAGTAATAAGGAAAATCCGATAGCTCGATATGATAATGAAATAGTAATTTAAAAGTATGCTTGTAAAAATTTGTGATGACAAACGAGTTATCTATGGTAATCAACCCTATAAATGAGAATGTGGGATCCGTGCCGATAGTAACTGCTCGTTCGTAGAAATGGCTTCCTTTTTCAGTGGATAAAAAAGGAGGTAGATAATAATGTGGAGGAAAAGTGCGGTTATGTTGCTAGAGGCGAGTCTCAAGATATCGGGCTGTATGGTCGACGTGCATGTGAATGTGGGGAATGGTTTAGCTCCGTTGTTGTTTTGGCAGAATATCCTTTGGCCACAACCGTAAGAAGTATATTGGCTTACGTTAAGAACCTGGATGGTGGCACCCAGTAGCCTTAGTTGATCGGCTTCAGAGGACCTCCACCCCGTAGCAGGTCCCAGACTTTCACCCCTGAGGTTGCCTTTCATCAAGTGTCATTAAGACCTAGTTGATTTAAGAATCTGGGTAAATATTTAATCACGCTAAATGGTCAATAAATGCCTCTTAAGAGTCCTAGCACACAGCACCATAGATATTTCCACGTTTAAATGTATTTTTTTCATGGCGGCTTTTCCATATACTCCTCACTATTTCTTGATTACAATGTTTGCATATATACATGAGAGACAGCTAGCTGGAGTCGCGTAATAAGTAATAATGAGGAAAACACTATTTGACATTTGTTGAAGTTTCACAACCCTCATCCTTTTATGAGTGAAAACACATCATAATCACCAACACCGTCAGCATCATAATCATCATAGCGGAACCAAAATTTGGGCTTAGTCTTCTGGTAAACGCTTACCTCATGCATGCATGTGTAGCTGCATATGTTTACATGCTTTATCAACATTTTCTGCCTTTGCACTGTCGTTTAGGGCAGCCTTATTTATAAGGACGCTAAAGCTGGAAAGCGCATCAGAAATGAGTTATGGTTATTGAGATTTCTAAGTCCGTATGGCTTCATCTTTGTCAGGCGATTACAGCCGACGTAAGGGGCGGTTAAGTAGGTCTCAAAAGTGTTGCTATTGCCTATTCAACCAACTCTGAAGGTTTTCGGGTCTCGAACCAACGTCAGTTACTTGGAAAAATTCACTTGACCTTGTAATAATAGGCCGCTGAGTTTTCTACAAGTGGTCCAAATGAATTATTCAAATATGCCAGACCCTCTATTAATATCGTTTAGTAGGATTCCATCTCGTAGGCATCATCAAGGAGGGGTGAACAAGTCAGGGTGCAAAACCGGACACTCTGGAGAAAACATGGTGCCTCTACAGTCCCAATAAGTAGGATAGTTTTAGCATCACCAGATATTGTATTTGACCGGCGTTACGTAAAATATTCAGGTTGAATTACGCCGGAGTCTACTAGAGGGTTCAGTACTGCGAGATCCCTAGCCGTTTATTTAAAAAAAGGCTGTTAAAATTTACACGAATTGAATAAAGGAGGAGGGAGGATCTGATGGCCTCAGGGTGTCCCAAAGCCAATCGTGACCGGAGAACACTCAAATATCAACTGGTAGACCAAGTTAATCCTGCTTGTGATCAATATTTCTAGATGACAGTCAACGAAAGCATACATTGTATGAGTAGCACAACAATACTAGTCTTCATATTGTACCAAATATTAGTCCGAACGCCATGAACGATGCTCCGCGGCATGGCGGCTGCTGGACAGAGACTTGCACGGCACCTGGTGCACTCTCTTCTCCCTCATCATCCCGGGTTTGATGGCAGGTCAGAGTCAGGATAACTGGAGGTATGTTTGGGCGGTAGGAGTACCTCGTGAAGCCGCCTGGGGAGCGTGCGAAGCGCGCCCCTCAGTCTCACAGGAACCTAATTTTAGGGGATAGGATGGATGGAGCAGGCCAGGGAACAAATTAGGTCGCAATAATCGTAAAAAATTAATAAGTTACAAGGGTGAGTTAGGTCGCGTACTCAAACCTCGGGCGATGACACTGAAATAGGCTTTAATATCGTCGCTAATCCCTGCCGGACCAACGGCGAGTGCATGTATGTTGGGGGAGTGTGCCCTACTCTTGGGCGGGTTCATTGCGGTACATTTTCTAGTAGTACCACAAACCCCAACTAGAATAAAAGCGAATGAGTGAGAAAGGTTTGAAGGTTGTGTAATTCACCCTACTTAAAATTTGTAAGTAGGCGATTATTCCAGTAGGTAAAATAAAAAGCCATTTTTCTTAATATACTGACTAAAGCGATTATTATATGCGGTGGCCTTCGGAGGACACCTCTGTAGTTCAATGCCACCATCAAATCCCTACTGGGTCGGCTGGTGGCTGTGAGTAATTCAACCTACTTAAAATGTGTACGTAGGTGGTTTTAATACATAAGGTCCTTTCGAAGACCCCACAAGGAATCCTTACCGTTTGGGCATAATAGCAGGCAAGGCTAAACGGCCCGTCTGTGCGTGCCACACGT